TTGTAATTGGTTGTCATAATACTATCATTCAGGCCTTTTTGAAAGAAATTAATGCAGCTGTCAATGTTAGCTTAATCTCTGTTTGGGTCAGTGTTTGTTATTTGATTTAGGTCCATTGAAAAAATCAGAACAAGATCCAACAACAATAATAAATAGGAAGATTTGTGTTTACCATGTCAACCATCCTTTCGGGTTTTAGTCCTAGCCAAAATAATCACTGAGGCAACATGTACATGTCCAACCCAAACCTATTAGTTCTCTTACTGTAATGTGTGGGTGTGGGAGGAATTGAGGTGAGGTGGTTGATGACAGAGAAAGTTGTGTACGCTGTCAGCCACCAGTGGTTGCTCAATACTCAAGGGAGAGCTCAGCAGAGAGTGAACAAAGGCTATTAGCTAGACTGGGTCCGTGGATACCATCCAGGTTAGGGACAGCAGCCTGAAAGGAAATGTATTCTGTTCACTAGTTATCAAATAGTAATGAAAGAGATATGAGTCTTGGGACAATGCAAAATTCTTTACAAGCAGAAACCCAGATTGTGTTTTTTTTGTCATGGTGTTAGATGGGGACGTCAGCATCAGCCAGGACAGGATGATGGAAAATCTCTGTTTTTCTTCAAATAGTGCTTTGGGTGGGTGATTTCCACTATGAAAGGGCAGATGGGAGCCTTAGTTTAACATCACAGCTGAAAGGTGACATTACTGTTGCAGTATTTTGTGCTCAGGTTTTAGAATGTGGCCTGAACACACAATATTCACAGGTGACTGTGCTACCAAATGAGTCACCCTAACACTGTAATTCTAAAGAGTATTATTTCTTTTTAACTTTAAGAGTACCTTTATGGCAATTGTGAGTGAACGGGGTGTGCATTGCCTGAAGACAGATCCTTGGCACATTGTCTGCTGATGCTTCATCCTGAACTAGACAAACAGGAGGCTGGAAGAACACAGCAGGCCAGGCACCATCTGGAGGAAAGGAGAAGTCAACGTTTCAGATATTACCCTTCTTCAGGACTAGATGTAGGGATGGTGGAGCTGCAGATAAAGGGAGGGGGGATGGGGCAAACAGAATGGTGGTCCCTCTCTTTATCTGCAGCTCCCCTACCCCCACATCCAGTCCTGAAGAAGGGTAATATCTGAAACATTGACTTCTCCTTTCCTCCAGACGGTGCCTGGCCTGCTGTGTTCTTCCAGCCGATAGTAGGAGCTGCAGATGCTGGAGAATCTGAGATAACAAGGTGTAGAGCTGGATGAACACAGCAGGCCAAGCAGCATCAGAGAAGCAGGAAGGCTGACGTTTTGGGCCTAGACCCTTCTTCAGAAATGGCCATTGTCTTCAACTCTCAGGAAAAGGCAAAGAGGCAAGACCCATTCTACCTCCAATAGAGGAGCATTCAACCCTTTTGCTGCTGGTTTTAGTCGGAACAATAACCTAAATATCTAGTCAATTAAGCTAACCAGTCCCCATGGCAACAGCATCACACAGAATTTATTTCAGCTCCATGAAACTGGTTTGGTCAGTGTCTTGACTGAACCAATTGAAAATGACAAGATCAAATAGAGGCGCATAGTGTAGAACTACAAAGATCCATCCCAAACTCTAAAAATGCTGTATCAGTCAGACAAATCTTCACTGAAACAGTCAAAGTTCCTGTATGAGCTTTAGGCAACTGTAAAGGGAAAAAACAAATCAAAAGTGAATGAGCCGATGAAGCATTTTAAAATAAAGTGCAGTTATAGAGTAGGAAATGTGGCAGCTAATTTGAGCTCAGCCAGCTCCAACACACAACAATGTACCAATGATCAGATAATCTGTTTGTTTTTGTGATGATGATCAAGTGATAATTATAGGCCAAAACACCAGGGGTAATTCCCCAAGTCCTCTTCAAAATAATGCCCTGGATCTTTACCTCTACCCACTAGGACCTTGCTTTAATGTCTCATCTGAACAATTGCACTTCAGTATTTCACTGAAGTCTCAGTCTTGATTTTTGTGTTCCAAACCTGGAAAGTCTCTTGAATTTATAATTGTTGGACTCACAGGCAAGTGTGCTACCAACTGAACTACAGTTGAAATAAAATCTTGATTCAATTGACTGTATTTAGGCATATCTCTCAAATTATTCAAGAAATAAATGGAAATAATGACTTTCTATTGTGGATATACTTTGGCATAAACTAAATTTAAGCTATTCTTTCAAGTGATTTTAAGTGCTGCCTGCAGGAATCTAGGCTTGAGTCAAATCTAAAGATCATATTTGGCCAGCCAGCGATCATTATTTGCTCAGAAAGGCCGGCAGATTTAAACGCTTATTCAAATTCTGAAACATTGTAATGGAAAAGCAGAACCTGAATTCACATTTTAGGATGAAACATGTAGTTACCTTATTGACTCACTGAGTTCATCCAGCAAAAGAACTGAGATATGCAGACTAAGACTTTGCAGATTCAATCCCTGCCTTTGCAGAATTGTCTCACATGTGGTGTTAGGCTGCTGCAGTTGGTCTCTTAGGATGAAGAAAATGAATTAGGTTCCTTGTATCAAATTGATATGCAGAAGATCTTACTGAGCTTGCATTGCACAAAAGCCAGGTCAGTGTTTGGGCTGGCTGCAACAACATCTAAACATCCTGGGTAAGAATCAAAGTAACTATGGATGCTGTAAATCAGGAACAAAAACAATGTTGCTGGAAAAGCTCAGCAGGTCTGGCAGCATCTGGCAGTTCTGAGGCAGGTTCACTGGACCCGAAACATTAACTCTGTTTTTTTACTTCACAGGTGCTGCCAGACCTGCTGAGCTTTTCCAGCAACTTTGTTTTTGTGTCTAAACATCCTGGCCTGTGTGTGTGTGCATGTATATATCTGAAAATCCCTGCAAAATTTCAAGATTTCAATGTTTGATCTAACAATAATGTCACTTATGTGAAGTACCAAAGAAGTGCATGTATCCATGGATAACACAGTGTGGAGTTGGAGGAACACAGCAGGCTCCAAACTGTTATCTCTGACTCCAGCATCTGCAGCTCCGGCTATCCATGGAACAATCTGTCATCTTTCAGAAGTGGAACATCGGAAAAGAGTACAAGAGAGGAAAAAAGAGAAAACAGTTTCAAATATTTTGTTTATTTCTGTCCACAGAAAAGTTATCAACATGACAGGGACCCAGATTTGATTCCACCCTCGGGTGACTGTCTGCGTGGAGTTTGCACATTCTCCCTGTGTCTGCGTGGGTTTCCTCTGGGTGCTCCGGTTTCCTCCCACAGTCCAAAGATGTGCAGGCTAGGTGGATTGGCCGTGCAAAATTGCCTGTAGTATTCAATGATGTGTAGATTAGGTGTATTAACTGATTAACAGTTATATACATTCTCAAATAGATTGTTGACATTATTTTTTTTTACCACATTTCTTGTACATTTCTCTTTATCTCTTCCTCCTTTCTTCAAGTCTTTGACTTGATTCATCTGTTTCAATAGGTAGATCAGGAAAACCTCTGACTAGATATAGAAACACTTGATATCAATTTTGACATTTCACATTTTTTCTGCTGGTTTCCATTATATCCAAGATTGAATCAGTCTGGCTGGAGGAACTTGCAGTGATTTGGCTGGAGTGTATAAGAACTACAAGATCATTATACACCTGTTCCATCATTAGCATCAGGTGCCTTTATGAGTTCCTCCTAGGAAGAAATTAAATAGTCCATTCACACAATGTTGTTCTTTGTTAAAAGTTCCCATTCAATATTAATGTGTGGTTCTATGTTCTGTACCAAGGCACAAAAGTACATGCCTAGTTGGGCACCATTTGATTTGTTGCTTTGGTATGTTCTTCAGATTGTTGCACATTTCCAAGACGTAACCACTTTTGCTACAATGAGTATATTATTAATGAAAGACTGAAATGTTGTGTCTTCACTGATGTAGAGTTTTGGAACCATACCTGTGACAAAATATTATAGAATTAAATTGCTTAAGATTTCACCATTGATGTTGTCACATTTGATATATCATTCAGCTGAGAGTTCTGTCTCCTCTACACAGATGATTTATTGTGCTTTAAATAATCAACACACTCTCTGTTGAATGTTTAGCATTAAATGGAACATTTGTTCATTTGGAGAACTTAATGCTCAATGAGCAGTTTTCTAGAATCTGTATCTACTGTTCATTCTTGAATTAGATCCTGTCTTGAAATAAACTGTCGAGTGATTCATTTATCTATGAAGGCAGTGATAACTTTGTGACAAATGAGTCATTCTTATATGTTTCAGAGCTGTACATGCAGATAGTTAATGAAACTATTTACAGAATCTCCTGGAAGTTGATATCCGCTATTGAAGTGTGATCTTACCAGTGTTCTTGAAGTGAAATATTTATCAAGAACTACTATGAGGCTGTCAAACATAATTTGCTTCTCATCGATTATGATTTAGTGATGTTGCCATGTGGTAGACAACTGTGCTAACCTGTTCCCTATTTGGTTTGGTTTCCAGTGCTGAAGCTGTTTGAAATCTTAGGAATTTTGCTTTGCATGTCTGCCAATTTTCTGACCTATCCAATGGATCTGATGTCTTGAGTTTAGCTGGAAAGATTGGTTCTAGAACAAGAACATAACACAGCACGGTGAGTATTGTTGCATTGGTGGATTGTTAACAGGCTTTTGTGGTTTTTGATCATTTTCTTGATTTTGAAGATGATTGATTAGGATTTTGATCCCTTCGTGATAGAATGACTTTGTTGCCTAATCAATTAAAGTTGTTGTTGAACCTGTATCACAAATATGGTTGTAGTATTAAAACTAAAAGTTGTTGAAGGGTTCTGCTGTTCCAAATGTTTTCTATGTTAAGTTCCATTTTCCTTTATCAATATGATGCCTTCAGAAAGATGAGTGGAGCTAAAATGGCTGAAGAATATCCAAAGATCTGTGATAGAACTTTCTCAAAATGGCTTCACTCAAAAAATAAATGAAGTCTGAGTGTATCAAAGATTTCTAACCACACAGTTGTTTGTGACAACTTTTTATTGTGTCTGAAATATTTTCACATCATGTTCAATAACACGCGATCAGCTTTGTGCTACTTACTCATCCAATTCTATAGATTTTAATAAATAAAACTGACAAAAATTATTTGTCGAATAAAACATTTGAATTTATCATTTGAACTGTGGAAACTATATAAAAAGGATTTTGTTAACTTCATAGGGCTCTGGTACCTAGAATTGCAAGAATAATTCTTATGGCAACTTTTCTTTTTTTTTGATCAATTTTCTTTAAGCCTATACCTGAAGAATGATCTTAATTTTAGCAGCAAAACATTAACACTGAGTAAGTCACTCAGGATTGTGTTAGCACACTGTTAGAAGTGTTCACTCTCCTCCTCAGCCTAATTTTTTGGACGGAAATGAAACTTTATTTTCCCCTCCTTCCAGGGATCAAATTTGCTTTCGGGTTCTGGTAGTTTTTCCTTTGCATGTACTCAGTTTGGATGTGTCCCCATTAGCTTTTTACAGGCCTCTTACTGCTTTCACTCCTATATTAAAGACTTGTTTCCCCTATTACTGGCCATAAGTAATTTTCTGAGACTTTGTGTTCTGCTGGTTTCTCTGTAGGAGCTTTCTATTCAGAAATATTTCCTTCACAGTGGCCGCTCCCTGCTCTTAAAGCTGTACCAAGGATTTCTGGAAAATGATTCTTTGAATCCTTCTCTTCTCCAGTCCGTCTCAAGTCTGGTTTCTGATTTTCATCGTTGTCACAATTTTTTAAACAATGTATCCAGTAGCTTCCACCATCTTTTATCATGTGGTTTGACTCCAATGGAGTTTGGGTTCAAGACAGGCTGGTCACAGAGAAGGCAAAATCAAGGACTGTTTGCAGGCTTAGACTTCAAAGTGGCACTATTTATTATACGTTAATACTTAATAATGCTACACATGGTAATATCATTGCGTAAGTTGAAACTTTGTTTTAAATTTGACCAATCAGCATCAACGTGTCTGGTTCAACATTTAAGCAGAGCTTGGAAATTAAATGTCAATCATCATTAACTGGTGCATCTTCCATGGCAGCACTTCTACCAATCTAAGTCCACTTACCAAGCAATCAGCACTGTATTAAATCAATGTTGGTTTTCCCTTTAAATAAGTTTTCTTGTGATTTCTCCTGATGAGTGCAAGATAAAAAGTTTTGACAAATTCAGTTTTTTTCTTCATCAATACTAAAGTAGCTACAAGAAAGCAAGTTGTGAGTGGCTCTTTCAATGAGCCTACACAAGCTCATGTGTCAAAAGGCCTCCTTTGATACTGTGTGATTCTATGGCACTGTGCAACACAGTTCTGACAAATGTCATTCTACCCCCTTTCTCAACACCACCTGCTATCCACAAATAAGAATCACCAGGTAGAGATCAGCTATTTTCCCCTCCCTCTAAAAGCAAAGACATGGAGATCAATTGTAATACCAAAAGGAGTTGAGTAAGCTACACAAACTGGGGTTGAACCTAATTCCTTCTGGTCCATGTGACTTAGTACAATAACAGGTGGTGCAAAAAGGCACTCACTGATGTCTCTCAGAATCCTGAATTTTTATTCTGAGATTCCAACACAATTAAAATTGGATTTACATGACCAACATCAGCCTGGTGCACAAAATGAATCTTACCATCTTACTAAATCTACTCTCCCTTTGTCACCTTTATTCTCGTGTCAAAGTTATGTCATATTCATCACATTAAACATTGACTAGATTTTTTAAAACCGCCTTTTTGGGGAAAAAAGGACATTCAAGCGTGGCTAGGATTGTTGCTGAGGATCAGGTGATTTTTGCAACTTCTGCAAAGATCACCTCAAGTCTTCAGAAAGTTGTTAATTAAAAGACCTGTGAGGGAGCTTCACTTAATGGACGTAGAGTCATAGAGTTGTACATCTATGCCGACCAGATATCCTAAATTAATCCAGTTCCATACCAATATGCAAACCATTTTGTGGAATTCGCACCTGCCAAAGTTTGTGGACTTGCTTAAAACTCTGGATAATTAGATCTACTGTCTCTTACCTCCTTCAAAGAAGAATACGGGTCACAAACTTATGAGCACTGAAAATCGATCTCTTCAAGGGAATCCGACAATAATCCTGATGTATGACTCAGGCTATTCAAGCCACTCAAAACATCCTTCCTGAGTAAATGATTTCCTTCCAGGGCTACAATTCATGCTTTTCCTGAGTACAAATCAAGAAGTAAATTATGACGTATGTTTTTGTCTGTGACTTGTTAAAGTACACTATCTTTAACTGTTGCACTTTTTCTCAGGTATGTGTGAAAGAATACCAAAAGATTGACTTAGCATCAGTCTTTTAGGTGACTATATGAAGAAGTAATTCCTTTTGTTTTAACCCATTGAAACTTCTTGTTAGTTATTTGAATTGACCACACACTCAGGGGTTAAATAACCTATGTATCTGCCTTTTCAATTGGGCATTTGAGTCTTCTCTCATCCCTGTGTGTAATATTTGGAGAAATGTCTTAGTAAAATGGCAGCTTATTACACCAATCTTTTGATTTTTCTTTGTAAACTTGGCAAACACAGTTAATTTGTCAAGTCAAAATTATATTTAAATATTCAACAGCTTTTCCACCCTGGAAACATTAAGTAGAAAACTTTGCCTAATTGCACGGTTAAGAAGCATTAATATCTGGGTTGATACTCAAATAATCATTCAGCTTCAGTGCACATATTTTCCTCAGTGATATATAAAACGTTCTGCTCATTAGTGCTGTTTTCAGAGATAGACAGAATTTTATGCTAGCTTTTACAGATGGATAGATAAGGTCCACATTATCAGCATAAACCAGACAATTAACATAGTGCCACCAGCATCTCTTTGCACAGCAGTTTCTCATAGTGCTACATCAAGGTCATGCACATAAGCATCAAACAACATGGCTGAGGGATTTTTTCCCCCTTCACTTTATGCAGGGGGTAGATAGGAGAAAGAACAGATAAAATAGGAGATTCAGCATTTTAATAGGCTCCAGTATATCTTGACCTGCTGCACATTTGACTGTGTTCTGCTGTAGAATTAGCCTGAGGTTCTTGACTTTAGTGAGTGACATTATAAGAAGACCAATAAATAACCAGAAATGAAATAACATGTTTATTACTAAGTCTGGATTGTTTTTTGCAATATTTATAATGTTTTCATGAGAACTACTGAAAGATTAGAGCAGTATTCATCTTTCAGTATGTTACTAGGAAAGAAGAAAGAACCAACACGTAAATAGTGTCTTTAAAAATCAGTGATGTCCAAAAGTGTTTTACAGCCAATGGGATACTCATGAAGTGTAATCACCATTGCAATGTAGGGAAAGTGGCAGTCAAATTGCACATAACAAGGTCTTTCAAATAACAATGAGATAATGGCTAGCTAATCTGTTTTAAGGAGATAGCAACAACTGCAGATGCTGGAGTCAGATTCAATACGGTGTGGAGCTGGAGGAGCACAGAAGGTCAGGCAGTATCTTTTCGGGTTTACACCCTTCATCGGGACAAACCCACTGACTCCCATAGCTAAAACGTCTCAGCACCAACGTCTATTTCGAACCTAAATAAAAACTGAAAGATCTGTGGATGTTGTAAAACAGGAACAAAAACAGAAGTTACTGGAAAAGCTCAGCAGGTCTGGCAGCATCTGTGAAGGAAAAAACAGAGTTAACGTTATGGGTCCAGTGATCCTTCCTCAGAACCGGACCCAAAACGTTAACTCTGTTTTTTCCTTCACAGATGCTGCCAGACCTGTTGAGCTTTTCCAGCAACTTTGTTTTTGTTCTATTTCAAACCTACCAACTCCCATTGCTAAAAGCCTAAAAGCCCTCTGCTTCTTCCTTTCCTGCAGGCTCAACCAATCCCCCTCCACCGACACCCTCATCCACTTAACAGAACTCGTCCTTACCCTCAACAACTTCTCCTACAACTCCTCCAACCTCCTACAAACTAAAGGGGTTGCTATGGATACCCATATGGGTCCAAGCTATGCCTGCCTCTTCGGAGGATACGTGGAACAGTCCCTCTTCTGCTGTTACACTAGCACCATCCCTCACCTCTTCCTCCGTTACATCGATGACTGTATCGGCACTGCCTCATGCTCCCATGAGGAGCTTGAACAGTTCATCAACTTTACTAACACCTTTCACCCTGACCTCAAATTCACCTGGACCGTCTCTGATACCTCTCCCTCCTTCCTGGACCACTCCGTCTCCATCTCCGGTAACCGTCTCGGTACTGACATCTATTTCAAATCCAATGACTCCCAAAGCTGCAGGAGTCCTGATGAAAGGTGTGAACCCAAAATGTTGACTTTCTTGCTCCTCTGATGCTGCCTGACCTGCTGCGTTCCTCCAGCTCCACATTGTATTGATTTTAATCTGTCTTACTGCCATTGCTTGAGGGATAAGTATGGGCCAGGTCACTGGGAGTAAGGCTAAGGAATAGACCTGAGGGGTAGAACATTTTTTTAATGCTGAGGAACAACTTAGAGTCATTGGGTCATAGAAATATACAGCATGGAAATAGACACTTCAGTCCAACTCATCCATGCCGAACAGATATCCCAAACAAATCTAATCCAATTTGCCAGTATTTAGCTCATATCTCTCCAAACCCTTCATATTCATATTGTAATCGTGCCAGCCTCCACCACTTCCTCTGGCAGCTCATTCCATATATGCACCACTCTTGACGTGAAAAGTTGTCCCTTAAGTCCCTTTTATATCTATCCCCCTCACCTTAAACCTATGCCCTCTAGTTTTGGACTCCCCTACCCCAAGGAAAAGACCTTGTCTATTTACCCTATCCATGCCCCTCATGATTTTACACACCTCTATAAGGTCAACCCTCAGCCTTCGATGCTCAAGGGAAAACAGCCCCAGCCTATTCAGCCTCTCCCTGTAGCTCAAACCCTCCAAATCTGACAACATCCACCTAATATTTTTCTGAACCCTTTCTAGTTTCACGAAATCCTAGGAGGGAGACCAGAATTCGATGCAATACTCAAAAAATGATCGAACCAATGTCCACAGACACAACATGTCTTCCCAACTCTTATACTCAATATACTGTCCAATAAAGGAAAACACACCAAACGCCTTCTTTAGTATCCTACCTACCTGCGACTCCACTTTCAAGGAACAATGAACCTGCATTCCAAGGTCTCTTTATTCAGCAACAGTCCCCAGGATCTTACCATTAAATGTACAAGTCCTGCCCTGATTTGCCTTTCCAAAATGCAGCACCTCACATTTATCTAAATTAAACTCTATCTACCACACTTCAGCCCTTTGGCCCATCTGATCAAGATCCCATTGTACTCTGAGGTAATCCTCTTTGCTGTCCATTACACCTCCAATTTTAATATAATCTGCAAACTTACTAACCATACCATAACCATATTCATGTCCAAATTATTTATATAAATGACAAAAAACAGTGGATCCAGCACCAATCCTTGTGGCACACCGCTGGTCACAGGTCTCCAGTCTGGAAAGCAACCGTCCACCACCACCACCATCTGTCTTCTACCTTTGAGCCAGTTCTATATCCAAATGGCTAGTTTTCCCTGTATTCCCTGTGATCTAACCTTGCTAACTAGTCTACCATGAGGAACCTTGTCGAACACCTTACTGAGGTCCATATAGATCGCATCCACTGCTCTGCCTCATCAATCCTCTTCGTTACTTCTTCAAAAAACTCAATCAAGTTAGTGAAACAAGATTTCCCACGCACAAAGCCATGTTGACTATCCCTAATCAGTCCTTGCCTTTCCAAATACATGTAAATCCTGTCCCTCAGGATTCCCTCCAACAACTTTACCACCACCGATGTCAGGCTCACTGGTCTATACTTCCTTGCCTTTTCCTTACCACCTTTCTCAAATAGTGGCACCATGTTAGCAAACCTCCAGTCTTCCTTAAACTCACCTGTGACTATCGATGATACAATTACCTCAGCAAGGGGCCCAGCAATCATTTCCCTTAATTCCCACAGAGTTCTAGGGTACACCTGATCATGTCCCGGGGATTTATCCGCCTTCGTGTGTTTTAAGATATCCAGCACCTCCTCCTCTGCAATATGGACATTTTTCAAGAAGTCGCTATTTATTTCCCCACATTCTCTATCTTCCATATCCTTCTCCACAGTAAACACTGATGCAAAATACTCATTTAGTATCTCCCCCATCTCTTGTGGTTCCACACATAGGTGGCCTTGTTGATCTTTAAGGGGCCCTATTCTCTCCCTAGTTCCCTTTTTGTCCTTAATGTATTTGTAGAATCCCTTTGGATTCTCCTTAACCCTATTTACCAAAGCTACTTCATGTCCCCTTTTGCCCTCCTGATTTCACTCTTAAGTATACTCCTACTGCTTGTATACTCTTCTCGGGATTCACTCAATCCCTGCTGTCTATACTTAACATATGCTTCTTCCTTCTTCTTAACCAAAACCTCAATTTCTCTCATCATCCAGCAGTCCTTACACCTACCAGCCTTGCCCTTCACCTGAACAGGAACATACTATCTCCAGAGGTAGTAGGAACTGCAGATGCTGGAGAATCTGAGATAACAAGATGTAGAGCTGGATGAACACAGCAGGCCAAGTAGCATCAGAGGAGCAGGAAAGCTGACATTTCGGGCCTAGAGCTTTCTTCAGAAGGAGGGTCTGAAGAAGGATCTAGGCCCGAAACGTCGGCTTTCCTGTTCCTCTGATGCTGCTTGGCCTGCTGTGTTCATCCAGCTCTACACCTTGTTATCTCATGCTGTCTCCAGATTCTTGTTATCTCATTTTTGAAGGCTTCCCATTTTCCAGCCATCCCTTTACCTATGAACATCATCCCCTAATCAACGTTTGAAAGATTTTGCCTAATACTGTCAAAATTGGCCTTCCTCCAATTTAGAACTTTAACTGTTAGATCCTGTCTATCCTTTTCCATCACTATTTAAAAACTAATAGAACTACAGCCACTGGCAGCAAAGTGCTCCCCCACTAACACCTCAGTCACCTGCCCTGCCTTATTTCCCAACTTGTAGGGTCTAACAAAAACTTAGTCAATTGATTTGGAAATCTATAACAATAGGAAAAAAATGAACTGACTGCATCCATAAATTGCTCAGAGAAGACTAAAAGAAGTCACAAAAGTGGTTGAGTCGCAAGTATACAGTACAATAATGGCCTATTTAATATAGTAACCGTATTGCTTACTAGTAT